TGTGGGATCCTTTCTCAGCAATGAAACTACTATTTAGTTTTTATACGTTTATTTAACAAATTACTCTACAGATATTACAGCGATTAAAGTGCCGACCGTTCGCGTTCGTGTCTTCTGTTGGAATGATTTCCTTTCTGCCTAGCTGTCCTTTACCAAGTACGCTTCGTCCAGTCCGTGTTGCCGTGTGTCGAACTTGTATTAGAGTATTGTATTGTTCAGAGTCGTATTTTATTAGTAGGTCTGTCCGCTTCTTGTCTGACGTATGTTTTCGGTCAATCCCACATGTATAATTCCTTATATGAGTCCTCAAAGTATCCCTTGTATAACACTGTGGAACACAAAAAAACCTTAGTGCGACTATATCAGGCTTGATAGCTGTTGGCCATACCAATAATGCCTCATACTAAGAGTTCTCCGAGAAAAAACATTTTCACGATCCAAAAATCTGAAAACTTTTTTTCTCCAAATTTTGAACATTTATCGTTTTTGGCCTATATTTTGTTGAAAATACCATAAAAAGCAAATATAGGGCAAAAAACAAAGAATTTTCAAAATTTTGAGAAAAGAATTTGGCGGCTATACTCAGATTTTTTAATCGTGACATTTTTTTTTTTTTGAGAACACGAATTGATCTAGTAAAACTGAGCATGGGGCATTATTGGTATGGTCAACAGCTATGAAACCTGATATATGCGCACAAGAAGCCCATATGAAAGAGTGGAACAAAAGATCACACGTAAATGAATTCCTCTTTTTGGCCTGTACAATATAAGGGACACATTTCAAATTCATAAGGGATAATTTTCTTAGTGATGCGGCTCATAAAAGGAATTATATAAGCCATACTGTTCTAGCTGGGTATTCATCAGCTCGAAAATTTTAAGCATATTATCATATTCCTGTGAATAAAAACACGCCTAATTTTATTATTTTAATTATCTACAACTTTATGAGACTACCAAGCCATATATATACCTATTCTGATAATCAGAACGCTGTTGAGAAGGCATACAATTTAGTACTTTTTCAACTAAAAGACTTTTTTTTATTCCCGCTTTTCTTGTACTTCCAAAATACAATATTGACCTAAGGTAGTTCGATTTCGAGCTGTCACAACGTACAACACCTTTCATTATTGCATCATGATTATTTATTAGTTTTTCAACGACAAATGTATTTTCAAAACTTGAATACGATAACATGTGTATGTACATACATATGTATGTATATATGTAGAATGAACACAAAATACTATTTCAAAACGCCTAGCGCCTGACAATGTTAGGCGTTTCGATTCACGAAGCTTTTATGATTAGGCGAAAACATGATTATGAGCTTCATTGAAATGCATGTGTTCGACATAAATGCTGCATACTTTAGTATGCCGGGACGATTATACTACTATGACTAGGCGCTTAATGTGCGGAGTGCCTTAGTTTTGCCAAGGCTAAACTAGATCAGGCCCTATAGTATTTTTGAGCAGAACTCCTTTCCGCGTAAGAGGCCTTTGTCCGCGCTTCAAAAATATAACCCTTATCAGTCCAATTCCAACTATGCAGTCCACAATATTCTTGCGACGAACTTGACTCCGCGTTGGATGGATGTATCGGATCTAGTTAGAACTAGTTTAGCCTAGGAAAAACTAGTTAGTCCTAATATCGGGTTTGACCGGTAGCATATATGTACGTATATATTTGCGCTCCGAGTAAAGCTCAGTCAACCTGGTACTATACTCTTAATAGTCCAGTTTCTTTGTAACTTTTAATCCACTATTCGAAACAAAACTTCCTTGTGGAGGTGAAAATGTGGGAAAAAAATAGTGAAGACAAACTCCAAAACTGTCTACAGGTACAGTCAAGCTGCATTTAAGGCATTGACCAGCCATCTATCTAAGTACTTCCAAACTAGTTGGGCAAAGCTAGGTCTCGACTAAATTATGTTGGTAAAGATAACGAGCTTGCTTTACTCTGGGTGCCAGGCAAATCGGGAGTGCCTGGCAGTGCTATAAGCACTCCCCACTTCAGCCATCGAAGCCACCATCAGAAACTGGGTGGATACTTCGCTCAGCAATGACTGGGAGCCATCGAGTGGATGCAGGTCGGCAAAACTCTTGTTGCCTTCAATCTCAGAAGGTCTATCTAGTTTTTTCCTCTCACTGAGAAGACGGGACTGCTGACTGGTCACTTCAAATGACAAGTCCATTTGCCCATCCTGCCTTGAAGAGGATGAGACGTTGGAACACTTTTTGTGCTTCTCGCTTGCTGGGTTGTTTGTTATCGATTTTCCTAGACTCGTTCTTTTCTCTATTATATTAAAATTAGCGTAAAAAGCTTAGCCGTTTTGTTGTTTTAAGTTTTGTGTTTTAAAAATGTAATAAATATTTTTCGCCTCACTTTAAAACTCGGTGCAAAAAAAATAAAAATGATGACATCAACACAAATAAACTATTTGACAAATACTTCACTTGCAAATTCACGAGCGAGCCGAACATGTGAGCAGTTTATTTATTGCTCTTAAAAAATATACCTCTTCAGAGCGAGATAGTTCTTTCACGGCTTTACGAGCTCTGTTTTTTAAAACTTGCAAGTGTGTAATCACATTATTTTATTAAATAGAACACAGGAAATTATTTTGTTTTTATGTTTGCCACTTCGAATTTAGTTTTGGAACTCACCCGCGATGCAAAATTTTATCGTTATATCATATATCTTATACTTCTATATTGGCAGTAAGCTAACTTCTCAATGTGTAAGCATTCCGAAATCAAAGCGA